AAGAAGAAGAAATGAGTCAAAGAAGAAGAAGAAGAAATGAGTCAATAAGAAGTAAAAAGAAATGAGTCAAGAAAAGAAGAAGAAGAAGAAGAAGAAGAAAAATAGTCAAGAAGAAGAAGAAGAAGAAATGTGTCAAAAAGGAGCAGAAAGAATGAGTCAAGAAGAAGGAGAAGAAAAAGAAGTAGAAGAAATGAGTCAAGAAGAAGAAGAAGAAGAAATGAGTCAAGAAGAAGAAGAAGGAATTAGTCAAGAAGAAGAAGAAGAAGTAGAAGAAGAAATGAGTCAAGAAGAAGAAGAAGAAATGAGTCAAGAAGAAGAAGAAGAAATGAGTCAAGAAGAAGAAGAAAGTATGAGTCAAGAAGGAGAAGAATAAGAAGTAGAAGAAGAAATGAGTCCAGAAGAAGAAGAAGAAATAGTCAAGAAGAAGAAGAAGGAATGAGTCAAGAAGAAGAAGAAGACTTAGAAGAAGAAATGAGTCAAGAAGTAGAAATGAGTCAAGAAGAAGAAGAAGTAAAAGAAGAAAAAGAAGAAGGAATGAGTCAAGAAGGACGAGGATTTGTAGAATGGAGAAGTTAGAGGCTTGCAAAATCGCATGAGATAATAAGCAGATTAAAAAAGAAATCACAATAATTCCAAAAGAAACGCGGGAAACCAAATGCATAAGAATTATCTCAAAGATTCGTCAGGGTACAAAACGCCGACAGTTAGGAATTAAAATTTTCAATTCTTGGTGAGAATCTTAATTATTTCATTATTATTGGCATTTAATTTCCACTGTTTCCAAAATTGTTGCTTTTTCGCCCATTTCAGCCCTTATAAGAGATGAAGTGATTGTTGCCTTGGAATTGAAGCTAGAAACGTACTACCAACTGTTACAACACATTACAATTTTTTCTAATCTTGGTAATCACAAAAAAAAAAATAACGGAATGTCGAAAGGACGTTTTTTTCCATTGACACCGCTATTGTATTAACTCCGTTCACTCCCTCGGCAATGTTTATTGTTTTAAAATGCGATGATTAGAATTGGAATAAAACTTAAACATATGAAAGTAAATTTATACATTTTCTTTGTTCTTGAGAATTGACAACAAAATAAAGATTAAGACATAAATCATTGCCGAGTAATTAAGGTAAATAAAATAAGATCTGGGTCAAGGAAAAACAGTCCTTTTCACAATCCCTGTTATTTAGCGGGCACAATGGTCCAAGTTTGCCATTTTCATTATTTTTTTACACTTTAAATTAACATTTCTTGAATTTTCAACTTGTACCCCAAATTTTTCCAATACCTTATCGTTTATATATATATATATATATATATATATATATATATATATATATATATATATATATATATATGATTGGTGTAGACGGAATAAAATTTCAATAACCAAAACACTATTCTTAAAAAGAGTGCCCAATACAGAGTAGAAACAAATACTATTTATTCTAAAATTATAACATGAACATGTTATAACATGTTTATGTAATAATTCTTGAAAAATAATATATATATGTATATATATATATGTGTGTATAACATGTTTATGTTATAAATTTTGAATATATATATATATATATATATATATATATAAGGAAGAGTTTATAGTGGTTCCAATAAGAAAAAGTGCGTATATTAAAAAGATTATGAAAAATAAAGCATATTTTTTAAAATCCACATTACAATCTAAAACGTTTGCGGTATCTCTCTTCTTTTTAATATATATATATATATATATATATATATATATATACCATGTGTAACAGCAAAATTGTCCAAATCGTGTTACAGCATAATTGTCCATTCCACAAATGTTTTAATATAAAAAAACACAGAATTAATTGAGTTTTTTTTCTAGATTTTCAGATAAGACGTTTAGCCATCTTGACACCATTTGTCGTAATAATCACTGAAAAACTCCTTTGAGTTATTCAGCTAGAAAAAGAACAGGTTAAAATCGTTTTGTGAAAGTAAAAAAAAAACATTTAAGGCTTCAGTAATGTGGTTAACATTAATTTTCCTAGTTCCGTCTTCAAAATCTTTCCAAGAACCATCGAGAGAACGGTGACTAAGTTTAAAAAAGAGTAGAGAGGAAAACTGGATCAGGAGGTCACAGCAGGAAGAGGGATCATTTCAACTTCGAGCTAAAGAGATCAATTAGAAAAGATCCAACTCAATCCATAAGACTCTTGGCACGTGAGAGAGGAGTTTCAGCTATGACAGTCTAAAGAGCAGGGAAAGAAGACTTGAAAATGAAATTGTATGCGAAACCTGAACGGCACCTTGTTACCCCAGGGCATAAGGTTAAAAGTTTAGCATAAAACTGCAAAATGATCCTGAATAAATATATATATATATATATATATATATATATATATATATATATATATATATATATATATATGGGAATAATATATATATATATATATATATATATATATATATATATATGAAAATTATTTCAACTTTCATTCCTTCATGGTCTTTAAAACCTTAGCTATGATTAATTAAAAATGAATATATCATTCACGTTTATTATATATAATATATATATATATATATATATATATATATATATATATATATATATAAATAGTTCTGTTAATGAATTAAGCACTGTTTTTTTTCTTAATGTAAGATATTATATATATATATATATATATATATATATATATATATATGTTAAATAGCTCTGTTACTTAAAATTAAGCACTTTGTTTTCTTACGCTATAGAGTATTTATATGTAAATATACACGATCGATCGCTCGTATAAACCTACCTATATTTACTCATTTGGTTATTTATATATATATATATATATATATATATATATATATATATATATATATATATATATATATGGTATGTGTTAATTTTTCTCAGCATATTTTTTTATTCAAACATATTTCATTGAATAAAATAGAAAATATTGTGTCTGTTTTTATACTGATCTTTTCATTTGTCTAATCAGTTTCTTGATGTTAAGATGAAATTCATCAAGGAATATTTGTTTCGTTTTTGTTTTGTTTTTTTACCCAAGTACTTTCGACCTTTTCGAAGATCATCTTCAGGAGTGAATTACAAAACAAAATTATGCAAAAAAATATTCATTCCGTTGTGATAACCATTTAAAAAAAAACACGCGTGAACAATTAATTAATTTAAAATTTATTTTTAAAATTCGCAATTAATTTTAAATTATATATATATATATATATATATATATATATATATATATATATATATATATATATATATATATATAAATATTTGATGTTAATATCTATCGCAAGCAGTTTTAAATTTCTTTCAGGCTGTTCGTTTCTTTCAATCTATCAATCTATCTCAGTCTATTCATATTTACCTGTCTAAGTTTATTCATTATCTATTTAGTTTTCTTTTTAAGTCTATATTTATCTGTCAATCTCAGCCTTTTCATTGTCTATCTGTTTCAGTCTATTCATATTTACCTATCTGCTCATTATCATTCACTTTTCATATATATATATATATATATATATATATATATATATATATATATATATGTCTATATTTAAGTATTTGACAATATCGGTTAGTTCATTTTCATTCTGTTAATTTTATGTCATTCTGCTAATTATCCGTCGATCTATCTACTCTGCTAATTATCTATCTATCTCATTCTGCAAATTATCTATATATATATGTGTGTGTGTGTGTTTCATTCTACTAATTATCTATCTATCCATGTCATTCTGCTAATTATCTATCTATCTCTGTTTCAGTATATTAATATTTACTTATCTATCCTAATCTGTTCTTATCTCAGTATTTGTCTTAATCTCTTTTTACCTCTGGTAATATCTCAGTGTGTTAATATCTTATCTGTCTTTGTTGCGTAAATATAAAAAGTAAAATCTATATGCCTGTATTTGTTAGCAATAACTTCACTATAAGATAATCAATATGTATCCGCGCGCACGTCTGTGTGTGTGTGTGTCTGTATATGTATAAAATGGTATTTATTATGCGAATTGGATATGGACAAAAAGGATATGAGAAGTAAAATGAAAGGAAAAGAATAAAAACGAAAGCATTGCATTGGAAAAGTAAAAAGAGAAGCCAGAAAATTAACAAGAAAATGGATAATTTTCTTTAAAAAGAGAAAGGAGAAAAAAAACTTAAACATGGTCGATTTCATATCGCGTTCACCTCTTCAGTGGATATTATATTTTCAAAATCCTAATCACGTTTCGACCATCGCGTCATTTACAGCGTCAGGCTGCCATTAGCTTTCCTCCTAGGCAACACTTCATTGCAAATTCGGAACTTAATCGCTTAAAATTTAAAAATTTTTTAAAATGTTATATTCGTAAGATTCGAATAAAGACGTTTATGTCTGTGTATTATTCCTTAACAGAACCTCGGCACCATTTCCTAATATTTTTTCATTAAATGGATTTATCTCTTTCTCTATTTTTCCCTCTTATTTCAGATTTATTTTGGTCTTCTGTCCTTTCTTTTCAGTCTCCGTCTTTTTTTTTCCTCTTCACTTTCTCATTTTATCCTCCCCAAAGTCTTTCCAGTCGTTTTATTCAAGAAACTTTTTTCTCAATTCTCCCTTCCCCATTCAAATGTTTTCTCTTTCCTCTAATATTTGGGAAAAATGATCTCCCCTCTCTTTACACTGATATCTTCTCCATTCTCTCTGATATATATTCCCATTTATTATATAAATATTATTATTGGGCTGTCTATTCCTCTTTCTCTTTCTGTCTCTGTCAAAGTCTGTCCTCTATCCTTATAAATCCTCTCATCTATCTTTCATCTATTCAAGCCTGTTTGAAAAATAAAAATCTTTTTAAATCTCTCCTATAAAGTCCCTTTTTCTCCCTCTATCTCACGCTATATTCTTTCTCTCTTATTCAACCCACTTTCTTCCCCTCCCTCTTGTACTCTTTCCCCCATCTTTTATTTTTCTCTCTTTGTTCTGTCTGTCTGTTCTTCAAGATGATCTCTGTCTTTCCCTTTCATCTCTTTCCTCCCTTATTTCCTTCTTTCCCCCATCCCAAAAGCCTTTCTCTCTCTCTCTCTTTCTCTTTCTCTCTCTCTGGTGTTGCTTATTCTTTAATCCGTGTGATAAACGAAGGGGAACGGGTTGAACACTCGAACGGCTTAAAATAAAATGGCGCTTAAGGAAACGCGTTTCGGGGAAATTAGAATAAAATAACGGACGACAAGAAAAGAGCGCAAATCAACTAGAATTACATTTGATCCTGAAGTCAAGTTGAAATATTTATTTATTTATTTCGCTTTCTTCTGTTCAAGAACTTAACTGTGGCAACCGCCATTTCGCTGCACAGGTCAACGTGATCTGTTTTAAAATACGCCTAACTGAAATTCATTTGTGACCAAAGTAATGATAATTTTAATATTATCTCTTCCTAATGCTACACGAGTTTTACTTTCCTTCACTCCCTGGCCTTTCGGTCTAAGATCAAAATGTAGTATCTGTTCGTCTCTTCTGTATTGGTAATGGTTATATAAGCTGGTTCCTTATAAGGAAATATTCGACACTCATTAACCGAACAGCCAATGCTACTCGAGTTACGCTTTCCTTCACTCCCTGGTCTTCGAGTTGAGATCAAAGTATAGTACCTGTCTAATGGCAATATTAGCCGTTTTCTTATGAGGTTACATTCGGCATTCATTGACCGAGTAGCCAGTGCTACTCGAGTTACCCTATTCTTTACGCTCTGTCCATCGATGCTTGGATCATGGTTTAGCATCTGTTCTCCTAATCTCTAAGAATAATGGTAATATTAGCCGCTCCTTTATATGGAAATATTAGACCTTCATTGACCGAGCAGCCAGTGCTACTCGGGATAGGATTTTCTTCAATTCCAGGCCGCGTCATGGGTATGAGGATAAATTACATCCGCGACCTGGATATGACGATAAACTACATCCGCGACCTGGGTATGACGATAAACTACATCCGCGTCCTGGGTAAGACGATAAACTACATCCGCGTCCTGGGTATGAAGATAAACTACATCCGCGTCCTGGGTATGAGGATAAACTACATCCGCATCTTGGGTAAGACGATAAACTACATCCGCGTCCTGGGTATGACGATAAACTACATCCGCTTCTTGGGTAAGACGATAACCTACATCCGCGTCCTGGGTATGAGGATAAACTACATCCGCGTCCTGGGTAAGACGATAAATTACACCTGCATCCTGGGTAAGACAATAAACTAAACCTACATCCTGTGTAAGACGATAAACTACACTCGTACCCTAGGTAAACCGATAAACTACGTCCGCCTCCTGGATAAGACGATAAACTACATCCGACAGCAAGGCCTTTGATCAGGAGGTTTTGAGGATCTTGGAACCACCTCTTAATTGCTGGTGTTCTCAGGTTCACCGTGAGCGGGGGTGGGTAGTACCTGTCAAGTTCCCAGCTATGGGCAAAAATTAACCCCCACCCCAAGGGGACAAAACACTATGAAAGTATAAAAATAGGTTTTAATACTAGTAATAATTTTTGGGGTAAAATTATTACCAGCAGTACATTTTTGAAAAAAAAAATTATTACCAACAATACATTTTTGAAAAGGAAAATTAGCAGCAATAAAAATCTCGTCGGCATTAAATAACCCATTGAGGTGTTGATATGCCGCATAGAAAACAAAGCAAATTAAACCAAACCTAAGATTATGAGGATAAGGAGGATAGTTAATGATTGACACTTCACATGAGGGGGTGAAGAGTGTAATGTTCATGGAAGCAACCATACACGAATATGAGCCATGAACTGGCAGTTTTTTTAGGCGAAACTGTCTCCTTACATTTGGACTCCGGATGGGTAGCTTGGCGTGTCCTAGAGGTAATTTTCCGAACAGGAAGAACCAAAGAACGTTTACCATGGAAATAGAGATAGATTAGTGGCCGACTTGCGATATTGCATCGCTTCTGTGGGAAAGACACTAAAGTGTATATTCCTTCATTTTCGGTTGTAAAAGAACGATTACCAGTAATAAATGTATCTATTCGTATTCTTTTTAATAATACCTAGTGATCCTCGTATTACTGGAATAACGGTTGTCTTTATTATTATTATTAGGGTCGGTGTGTACTACCCCCGAATCTCCCTTAAGAGTGGTTGGGCAAGACTGATTGGCACCCCAGGCAGTGCTTTGTGACCATTGGTATCTTATAAACATTTGCTTTTGTTCTCCGTACATTTATAAATTAAACTAAGCACAATTGACATTTTAAGGATGAAAAATTGCCGCCGATTTTGACGTCATTCAAGGGACCCTTTTTTTCGTTCAAATCCGTGAATTTTTTTTTGTTCAAGCTAAGTCTCCAAAAACCACCCTATAAAATTCACTATTTTTATCCATAATGTCGACGGGTTAAAACTATTCAACATTTTACTAAAAAAAATTCAAATTGATGTTAAAAATTGCCGCAAAATACTGTTGATTTATTTAAGATGGAATGATCTATTATGACATGTCTCTAATTTGTATTTAGATACATTGTATTTATTTTCAATTTTTCTAATTCAATTATTCTTACCAAAATTTCATATAATCCATTATTGTACATAATTAGGTTACAATAAAATTTAAATTCTGTATGTATTTGATATGAATACTAACTTATAAAAATTAAGATGTAGTAGAGTGGGGGGGCGTTTCATAGATTTGGGGTGGGGACCGAGACACTTTTGTATGTGATTGTATCATAGAAGCGTTTACTTACATGCCCTGTCTGCCATTGAACGTATACCTATATACACGCAATTTGAGTTTGAACTAAAGATATTGGAATGATATATCCCACACCCAGTCTGGACAATCCCTACTCTGGGATGAGCAATAATATCATAGTGTCGGAGTCAAGAAAAAATGTCACGGTAAAATGTCACATGTAAAAAAAAACAGAAAAATATTAGAAAAGTGTGAACAAAATCCAAGCAGACAAACGCCCAGCAGACAAAAAAGAAGCAGACAAAAAGCAAGCGGACAAAAGCGAAGGGGACAAAAAACAGGCAGACAAAAAACAAGTGGACAAAATCTAAGCGGACAATAAAATCAAACGGACAAAAAATTTTTTTTCTTCAAAAAAAATGTATTCAGCAGACAAGAAACAAGCAGACAAAATTTAGGCAAAACTTCAGCAGACAAAAACCTCGCAATTTTATAAAACTTCAGCAGACAAAAATTTCGCAGATCAAAACTTCAGCAGACAAAACCTCATAGGCAAAACTTCAGCAAACAAAACCTTATCCAGACAAAACATTATCCAAAAACCCTGCTACAAAACTTCAGCAGACAAAAACCCTCAAGAAAAACTTTTATTTTGAACAAAAAACCTTTTTTTAAAACTTCAGCAGACAAAAACCTTGCAGACAAAACTTCAGCAGACAAAAACCTCGCAGGCAAAACTTCAAAATCAGACAAAAACCTGCAAACTGCAAAAAAAACCTCGCAGAAAAAAAAAAGACAAAAATATCAACAGACAAAACTTCAAAGGACTCAAACCTAAAAAACAAAACTTCAAGAAAAAAACCTCGCTTTTATAAAACTTCAAAAACAAAACCTCATTAGGCAAAAAGCTTCAATATTCACAAAACCCATTAAAAAAAAATTTTACAAATCAAAAACCTCAGACAAAATTTCAGCAGACAAAAAAATATAGACAAAACAACAGAAGATGAAAAAACCTCGCAGGAAAAAATTTTTGCAGACAAAACCTCATAGACAAAACTTCCTGCAGACAAAAACCTCACAGACAAAACTAACAGCAGAGGAAAATTTAAGAAAAAACTTCATAGACAAAAACCTTGGCGATCAAATATCAGCAGAAAAAACCTCGCAGGCAAAACAAATTAAAAAAAAAAATAATGTACTCTATAAAAACTTCAGGAGACAATAATTTTTGGTTTGACAATATGAAAAAATATTTAAAAACAAAACCTCGCAAAAAACTATAGCAGACAAAAACCTCCCAGACAAAATATAGCAGAATAAAACCTTTAGACAAAACTTCAGTCGGCAAAAACCTCGCTAGACAAAACTTCAGCAGAAAAACCTCAAGTGTGAAACTTCCTGGTTAACAAAAAATCTTGGCAAAACTTCAGCAGACAAAAAACCTCGCAAGTGTCAACTTCAGCAGACAAAAACCTCGCAGACAAAACTTCTTTCAGCAAAACCTCGCAAACTTTCAAACTTCAAAGCAAAACCCTCGCAAAAAACTTCAAAAGACAAAAAACCTCACCAGACAAAACTTCAGCAGACAAAAACCTCGCAGGCAAAACTTCAGCAGACAAAAACCTCGCAGACAAAACTTCAGCAGACAAAAACCTCGCAGACAAAACTTCAGCAGACAAAAACCTCGCAGACAAAACTTCAGCAGACAAAAACCTCGCAGGCAAAACTTCAGCAGACAAAAAACCTTGCAGACAAAAACCCAGCGGACAAAAACCTATATAGGCAAAACTTCAGCAGACAAAACCTCGCAGACAAAAAAAATTTCAGACAAAACCTCGCAGACAAAACTTCAGCAGACAAAAAACCTCGCAGACAAAACTTTTTCGAGACAAAAAACCTCAGGCAAAACTTCAGCAGACAAAAACCTCGCAATAAAACTAAAAAAACCTTTTCTTTCAGCAGAAGAAAAAACCTTGCAGACAAAAACCCAGCGGACAAAAACCCAAACTCTTATTACAAAAGTGGACCTTAAAATTTACATTTAAATTACCTTGAATTTTCAATTTATTTATGATTTTGCTGGTTTTTCCTCTCGTTTTAGGCCACGGTTTTTTTGTTTTGTTTTGTTTTTTTTTTTGTCTGGTTACTGATTTGTTAAGCTTAAGTTTCTAGTCGTTTTCTATCTTCGAAATCTCAATTATTCATTCCAGTGTGCGGCTTTTGTCTTTCCTTGAATAAACAATTGTTTTTCGATGATTTTTTTTTCTGACTGACCGACACTATATGGCTTGTTTCTTTCAAAACTTTAGTTTATAAGTAGATCAAAACAAATAGTCACCAGTCCTATTACACAAAGCTTATTTCATCAGCGTGCGTCAGGTCAACGGCATTCTGAAATCTCTACTGTATCCTAATCTCAAAAGCCACGAA